CTTATTAGGCAAATCGGGACTTGAATAGTAGGCTGATAAGTACGTTCTGGCTATTAGGTACGACATATATATATATATATAAAATATATATATATATATATATAAATATATATATATATATATATATAAAATATATATATATATATATATATATATATATATATATAAAAAATATATATATATATATATATAGGGGGGTACCACCACTGGTGTAATTATAGGGACCCACAGCCTCAGAGAAGGGAACACAGAGCACTCAGGGAAAAACTTGACATTTAACTCTGAATACGAAAGAGTGTTCACTTCTCCTACCACCCCCTTTTTTTTTTATTATGATGTACACTTTATTATGCAAGGTTATACAGTTACATATCTGATTTTATACAAAAAATGAACATTAAGAGGACACAAGAAAAAGTTCGCTTCCTAGAGGCTGTAGATTTCCTCGAACTCCTCCGACGCCGGGCAGGAACCGAGGATGCAGCGGGCATTTCCCCTCTGGATCGCGACACTGAGGCGCTGAAAGAGAAAACTTGCTGCTCTAGGGTCTCTTGTGGTGTCAATGAGCTTGGAACCAAGATCCTTAAGAAACCTTCTTGCACTCTCACCCCATGGGCCTAGGGTCTCAGACCCTATTGGAACGAAATTGTACCTTTGATCTAATTGCCTGTACTTGACTGACTTTTGTTTTTCTCTGTGTGTCGCTGCGGCTCCTGCCGTGCCGGCAGAGAGGGTGATGTATGTCGTTGCCAGGGTGGATACGCAAGTATAGTCCCATGCTAACTGCCTGCCACCCTTCCACGGACGCAGTGTGATTCCGTCTGGTCGGCCGGCAAAGCTAACAGAGTCACGGTTCAGTAGGTTGCGGGGCTCTCTCCCCGCTGGACACTGAGCAGAGGCAAGGCTTCTTTTAATGATGTCGTTGACTTCGTCGTGTCTAGTGTGCCAACCACCCGATTTTCCACAGTGCAGGCCATGCAATCCATATTCGTCAGCATCTGCCTCGCCGCAAATACACCTGTGAACAGTGTGGATAGGGGCAGCAAGGCGGAGAGCGACTGCAATACGGAGCTCCTGCGGATCAAGACGTGTGCCTGTCGCAGACATAGGGACTGCCAGAAGGAAGTCCCCTGCATGGGGAGCCTGCACAGCTGTGAGGCGTGCACGATCACTGGGGGTTGTTGCTGCCTCCAGCAAAGCTGTGGCTTCTTTGTCTACAATGGGGCTGTCCCAACTGGATTGTTTCTTGGCTTTCGGCATGGCTGGTCTGAGTGCTGGGTCTGTCATGGCACCCCATTTCGTGTCACATTCCGTGTAGTGGGGGTCCTGTATCCCCGCTACATCACTCAGGGTGTCAGGTATATATATATATTTTTTTTTTTAAAAACAATGGAAGGGAGTACCACCTCTAGCTGGAAGAAGGGGGACCCATAGCCTCGGAGGAAACCACGCATAACGCATTAGAGGGAATGTTTAGATCCCCTCCAATACAGTTTCTGTGTGCTTTTCTCCTACCACCCCCTTCCTTTTTAATTTTTTGTGCTTTATTATGCATTTGATGGTTACAAGATATACATGGGTTGATACAAAAATAATAATGCAAAAAGGTGCTTAAAGGTTATGGATCTCTTGAAAAACACAACAATGGGAAACATTGATGAATGTCACAGACGGGTTCGATCATTGTTGCAAGTCAAACACTTCTTCGAATTCCTCTGAAGTTGGACTAGTGCCCAAGACGCAACAGGCATTTCCCCTCTGAATCGCAACACTGTGGCGCTGGAACAAGAAACTTTTTGCTCTCTGGTCTTTTGTAGCGCTGATCAATTTGTCCCCCAATTCCTTCAGGAACTTCAATGCACATTTTCCCCACGAACCGAGGGTCTCCGAGCCGATCGGAACAAAGCTGTAGCAGTGTGCTAGACCTCTGTATTTAATAATTTTCTGCGATTCCCGATTCTGCAATATATATATATATATATATATATATATATATATATATATATATCATCCTCGACTCAAGTCCATTACATTCAGCGGTCAACCCCACAGACGCATTCATAAATTTTAACATGCTGTTCATTCAGAACGGGAATTTTCTCAAGTATAAATTAATATTATAATATATTACCATATTGTGTATAAATAGGCATAGGTTAGGTTAGGTCAGGTGTTTAGGTTCTGTTGGCGATTATTTGTATTTGTAGTACGTGGGCGAAGCATTTACAGCGTTGTGGTTCGAACAAAATTCGGCACTGAAGCACTTGTTCCGGATATGTTCGAATGTCAGCAGCTGTGAGTCATGTGTAAACCGCTTTTCATTCATAAACAGGGGGTTTGGCAGGTGCATGGAATCACTTTTGGATCTTTGTTTGGAGGACGGGCTGGTACAGAAGAGCTTGATGCCACCCAGGAAATCAGATCAACCAAACGAAACTATGAAAGAAAACTTGCTCAAAACAACAAAAGATTCAAAGTTATTCTACGTAAGTAGAACCAAGAAGTTCTTATACCCGAGTAGTAAAACCAAAACAGAAGACACTGTAGGACCTCTAAAATATCAGACTAACCAAGTTATAAAAGATGATAAAAGTGCTGCAAACTCTGAGCAAATACTTTATATTAGTGTTTACACTACGCACAACTAATATATCTAGTATTTACACTAGATATATTAGACAGCATCCCATGGGTTCAGTTTTCACTTTTGTGACAGTCAGAATATCTTTGTATATAATGTAACTTCAACAGTCTCCATGGCGTAGTGGCAAGCACTTTCTCCTTGCGTTCCGCAAGCACTTTCTCCTGGGTTCGTATCCTGGCTAGAGAGGATTTACTGGGTGCAAATCTTTAACTGCAGCCTCTGTTTAATCACACAGTAAAATGGGTACCTGGCTATTAAACGATTCTTCGTGGGGGTTGTATTCCAGGGACCATAGGATTAAGGACTTGCCCGAAACGCTACACGTACTAGTGGCTGTACAAGAATGTAAGAACTCTTGCATATATAAAATAAATAAATGTTCGGCAAAGAATGTATAGCTTAGTTACTTATGAATTTAAAGTATTATATATATATATATATATATATATATATATATATATATATATATATATATATATATATATATATATATATATATATATATATATATATATATATATATATATATATATATATATATTATATATATGTCGTACCTAATAGCCAGAACGCAATTCTCAGCCAACTATGCATGGCCCAATTTGCCTAATAAGCCAAGTTTTCATGAATTAATGTTTTTTCGACTACTTAACCTACCTAACCTAACCTAACCTAACTTTTTCTGCTACCTAACCTAACCTAACCGATAGAGAGAGGTTAGGTTAGGTTAGGTAGGGTTGGTTAGGTTCGGTCATATATCTACATTAATTTTAACTCCAATAAAAAAAAATTGACCTCATACATAATGAAATGGGTAGCTTTATCATTTCATAAGAAAAAAATTTGAAAAAATATATTAATTCAGGAAAATTTGGCTTATTAGGCAAATCGGGCCTTGCATAGTAGGCTGAGAAGTGCGTTCTGGCTATTAGGTACGACATATATATATATATATATATATATATATATGTCGTACCTAGTAGCCAGAACTCACTTCTCAGCCTACTATTCAAGGCCCGATTTGCCTAATAAGCCAAGTTTTCCTGAATTAGTATATTTTTTCTAATTTTTTTCTTATGAAATGATAAAGCAACCCTTTTCTCTATGTATGAGGTCAATTTTTTTTTATTGGAGTTAAAATTAACGTAGATATATGACCGAACCTAACCAACCCTACCTAACCTAACCTAACCTATATTTATAGGTAAGGTTAGGTTAGGTAGCCAAAAAAAGCTAGGTTAGGTTAGGTTAGGTAGGTTAGGTAGACGAAAAAACATTAATTCATGAAAACTTGGCTTATTAGGCAAATCGGGCCTTGAATAGTAGGCTGAGTAGTGCGTTCTGGCTATTAGGTACGACATATATATATATATATATATATATATATGTTGTACCTAGTAGCCAGAACGCACTTCTCAGCCTACTATGCAAGGCCAGATTTGCCTAATAAGCCAAGTTTTCATGAATTAACTGTTTTTCGACTACCTAACCTAACTTTTTCGGCTACCTAACCCAACCTAACCTATAAAGATAGGTTAGGTTAGGTTAGGTAGGGTTGGTTAGGTTCGGTCATATATCTACATTAATTTTAACTCCAATAAAAAAAATTGACCTCATACATAATGAAATGGGTAGCTTTATCATTTCATAAGAAAAAAAATAGAGAAAATATATTAATTCAGAAAATCTTGGCTTATTCGGCAAATCGGGCCTTGCATAGTAGGCCAAAAAGTGCGTTCTGGCTACTAGGTACGACATATATATTGTATTGTATTGACAAAGTTCAGTTTGTATATATATATTTCTCTATTCCACTACAAGTCCAGGAACCTTTCAAAGTATTTCACCAATGTCTCACATTTGCATCCAAGTGCCTAATACACATTATTGTCTTCATTAATAGATTAGTTTTCAAAATATTTTTGCATATTTCTCCCAGTTGATTTGCATGGAAGAGTTCTTTACACATGGATTTAAGGTCACTATAGGTGACCTTGAATTCTTACCCACACTCTCATGCACCTGAGCACCTCCACAATATCCTTGTTGGCTTTATTTTCACGTTGGAAGCTGCTACTGCAGCTACTCGTCCCACTGTGACTGCCGCTACTGGTCCTCAAGGGCAGCAATCTTACAAGGGGACTGAACAATGTTTGAACCAGTTCGATGGGATTAAAGGTAATGTGCAAATCTACCAATTGAACAAGATGTTTATGTATGTGTAGATCATCAGTAAGACCAATATATTTTGTGCATGGAGGTGGTCCGAAAAGATCATGGAAAGATCTTTTCACCTTTCCACAGCAGCAACCATCCACACTATTACCCAACTAAAAAGAATGATTAAATTCATAGGGTAATTTAATTAATTTAATTAAGTACACCAAGTTAAAAGAAAGTTACATTAGGTAATCCAAGAGATCAGTGCAGTTACAAAGTTATCCCATATTGGATAACGGAACTAATTTGTAATTTTATCTTTACAAAACCATAAAACTTAAAAATACATTACAATACACTACAAAACCATAAACTTAAATACCAAAGCAGATACACATATGCCCTACAAAATATATACAAAAAAAGATCTGTACACTTTCATGGAATTTGGTTTCATGAATATCACATCTACATTCAAATAAAGTTGCAGTGGCAAAAATGAATTATTGTACATAAAGCATATTGAATAAAATAAACATTAATAAATAAGAAACAGCCTTGTAAGTATACCTGTTAATCCACAGTGAATCTGATTATGTATATGATGCAATTCATTTAACAGATTGATGATTAGATATATTTATTTACATTCGTTGCAAATTTTGTTGAAGTGAGAGGGAAGACATAAAATACATGTGATGAGAAGGAAAATGATCATGATAAAAAAGATGACTAGAAATAGTTGTCTATTACACCTCATGTATTTTAACTGACAAGAGTAACTTGTGTACGATGAAAGCAGAGCAAGTCACTGAAGGAAAGGGGTTGAAACAATGAAAGCCTTAGCTAAGAACAAGAAGAGTTACAGCATTATTTCATGAAAATGATAGGGCTTACCATTATTGTACTTGTGTAAACACTGTTGAAGCATGTATGTAAACAAATTCTAAGTTAGAGCAAGAGAATTTGAATATTTGAGGTACACATGTGGTGTTAGGCTAGACTGAAAAAGGAATGAATACGCCACAGAACATACATAGAGTGAAGTCTGTAAACCAAGATCAAGATTCCAGATGGAGGAGTAGGAGGTACAGACAATGACAGTGTCTTGTCTCTCCTGTGCAAGAGTTGTTCCTGTTCAATAGCCATTGATTTGTTAATCATTTGTGCTGGAATATTTTAAATAAAATTAGGCAATATAAGTGTGGATGTGTTTGCAATTTTAAGAGGTAATTATGTGGTAAGGAAGACTCAGGGAGACGAGGACACTTTCCTGCCAAGGACAGCTTTGGCACCAGCTTTAAGAAGCTCAAGACACCAGGTTGTCATGATTGTTAAGACAATGTTGTCTGAGTACCTATCAGCACAAAGCAAAACAGTGATGTCTTGCAAGAAAAGTGCACAGATTGGTCGAGGCAGCTCATTTCATTTCACGCTAGAATTATAAAGTGACCACATTGTCAACTGTCGCTCCACTACTGCAGGAGGAATATCGTCAACCTGATGCTCGTCAGGACTGAACCAGAAGCAGCAAATAATTGAAATATAACCTAAATATGTCATGAACTAACCTATATTTAGTGTAGCAGAAATTGGGGGGGGGGAGGGGGACTGTGAGGATCAGCCCATTAAAGTATCAGTTGGGGCCAGTGTTGGAAGTCCCAAGCAGCCAGGTGAGAGCTGGCACATATTGAATAACAGACAGCAACAGTGATTCAATGCTAACTATTTCAAATTAGCATTTTACAATTAGTCCTTGAACATGGTGGTTATCTCGGTAGAGATTCACAGGCATATAGTACATGAGAGGACACAGTGCAACCGTGGCAGAAGTTGGCAGAGAGATCCGTGGGCCAGTGATGAGAACGGGTGCCAGGAATTAACAGCCCGACACTTAAAAGACTGACTTGGTACAAATGTGATTTTATTATTGTGGTAGTGGCACATTAGATTTGGAGTGATAAACATAATTTAATCATGTGTAGCTTAACAAGGCACTAGTTTATAGCCAACTAATCCAAGAAACCTTGCGTGAATTTTTTCATTTAATGTACATATTTATGTATAGCATTATATGTGGGTTAGATCAAAAGTTATTTCATTATGTCAATTGTGTGCAAATATATTTGTCTAGAAATGAGATTCATTTATAGGTACAGTATATATATTTGTCCAGCGAGTGGATGGTAAATTTTGAGACCAGGCTGTGTTTTAATCTTCCATTGATCTGTATGATTTTGATGATGTGTAATATTAGAGATATTTAATGTGTGCATGATGAAGTTATGTACTGCCTGAGAAAAGGCTTTTGAGTGACTCACTAAGAATGGAACTTCAGTAAAAAAAACTTGTGTACAAACTTCATGTACCAGGCTACCAGAAACAGGTCGGAAGTCAGGGAAAATTCATATTAAAGTAGACCTCATAGTTCAGTCAATATCGAGATTAATTTTTTTATTTTGAATATTGCAGTTCATTATTGCTATTTCTGTAAATGTTGTTAAACTTTCTAAAGCTATCATTACTCCTTCCTGGTATCCTTGGGGATGAGTTTGGTTTGAACAAGGTTCTAATACCAACCAGCAACAATGTATGCATCTGACAATTGGCTGTGATTTTACCACACCCTGATTGAGGCTGCTACCCAATTATAGTTCTGCAAGAGCAGAGAGAGAACAGTCTTTCTATAGGAATTATGGGAGAGTGCTTCAGAGCAGTACTCACCAGTTGTTTTTTTAATGTAACAGCTTGTGTATCCCCTAGTGTAGCACTTGGCAGCTCCAGGCTTTTGTTACACCTGGGAGAACTAGCTATAACTGGTAGATTTGTTACAATAGTACGAGTGATGAATGTGTGCAAAGATGGTTTAGTCATGCTGAACAAAAGGATTGTGTAGCAAAGAACATATAATACAAGTTAATGTGAGGACCTAAGAAAAGGAAGAGTACAAAGATGGGTGGAGTGTTGGGAGGTGTGATGATGATAACAGAGCAGCAAGAGTGGCAGGAAACAAGGCTTGCTTGACACATTTGTACACAACACATGAACCTAACACCTTGTTTTATGTAGAGGCTAAATGTTGCTGTGAATGATTTGCTGCCATGTGGTGGTGCCGATTCTCTGATGCACTCCAGTATGGTATGCTGAGCAAATGTGTCATTTTTCAATGCACATATCTCTAGCCTTCTGATTCATAGTATTGCTCTCCTATCTTCTCTGTGCACATGCTTCTCAACCATTTGAAAGTGGGAATGGAGTAATGATGTTTGGTGATCAATGCTACGTTTAAAAAATAGTAACAGTGAAGAAGTTTAAACACAAACCTACGAATCCTTATAAATTCAAATATACAATATAACATTTTTCTTTCTTTAAAACATGTTAGGAGATTCCACAAAATCTAATGTGGTCTTGACTGCTGAAAAACCACTTTTGGGGGAGACATTTTCTGATCCAGATGTCCCAAAACTGTCCAAAAGAGATGCAGTGACTAATCTGAAAATAAAATAAAAAAAATTTAATTCCAAACAATGACATGGTTAATGAAGGAATCTTAGAGAAATCGTTTGGCTCTGAATTCTATAGGAGGAACAAAAATGGTCTCAAACAAATGTAAGGAGAAAAGAAGAAGAGAAATACAATACCGAGACACACTAAGCAGACTAAACTTTATTATCTAACAACAGTGTGGCAAAAACATTAACATAACTCATTGACTACTAGAACATTGTATTGAATGTAATGAAATAGCTCTTTCTGGTCAAGCCCCCAATGGATCCTGAAGCTATGAGATGTCTATCCCTTTGAGATGTATTTTTTCTTGTCTCAATAAACATACTTTAACTTGAACTTGCTATGAGATGTGTGACCCGGTAGTAGGGAGCCATCAATGGGTCCAATTTGGCCCATTGGGAAATAGAGCCAGAACCTGGCTTCCCGCACAAAGGTGCACAGCGCAGGTATTATCACCACCACTCACCAGGTAAGCATCCAGAAAGTCAGCGAAGCTTTACAGACAACTGCAAGGCTCGTAGAAAAAAAAGCATTAAAATGGCCAAACGACTGCAAACTATCCATTCCAAACAATTGTTTTACTTAAAACTAGCTTTAACTGTTAGCACCAATAGCCGTCACTAGACAGCCCGCGGCTCCTTGCAGCAGCCGGCTCCACAGTCAGTTCTCAGCTGATGGAAACGAACTAATGGACCTGGCAGGGAGTATGTCAGGAAGCCACCAGGGATCCATTAAAAAGAGGATCCTATTACATTCAACCCTGGTGCTCTTCGAGCACTTTTGATTCCGACTCCACTACGGACCTCCCTGACCAAACAAGTGAGGATCCAATCCTACCAGACAGCTTCCAAAAGGCAGGGACAGAACCCTGATGCACAATGATAGGAACAACAGATGGCAGCAGCAGCAGCCGAAAGAAACTGAGTAACTGCGTCATCAGGAAATAGGAGAGGCAAAAAAAAGTGGAGATGGACAAAAGAATTACGGACCAGACCGAACCTAATGACTGGGCAATCACAGTCTGCCAGCAGATGATACAAGCTAAGTAAAATGATGCCACTGTCTCCCGAAGGATATAGGGTGAACAACTTGGGCAAGGCATCAAAGCTGGCACTGCAGGCAACAAGACCTCCACACCCATAACTGAACCAAATGAATCCATGCCTTTGCATGTCTGCAAAGACTCCATTACAGCCCAAAACTACACGTCCATTGGCATGTACGAGCCTTGTTATATATCAACAAAGAATGCACAGACGACTGCTTATGGAGCTGCCACTTTCCAACATCTTTGGGGGATGCCGGAGGAAACAGACAGTCCTCGAGCAGAGAATAAGAAGCCCAAAAACACCTGAAAGATGGACACTCTTCCCACCAGTCAAGAATTCGAATCTGATAGAACTCATGCCTAACTCCCAAAGAAAATAGAGAGTTGTCAGCCAGCCAGGATGAATCCAGAACCTTATAATGTGGGCAATAAGCTGAGGTTGGTCCATATTCAAATGAGGTTCAATATAAATTTCACAGGAGGCACCAACCCCACACAGATAGCAAAACGAAGGACAACGGAAATCTCCATAAATAAGAAGAGTCCAAAGCACCGAACAGCCGACAGACTTGAACCCCGGGGAGAAAGGTCTAGTTATCAAACTCATACATCAAAGTGGGTTAAGAAAACAGTTGCCCCGTGGTAAAATACCCTCTGATACACCCCTTTTGGGTATTAATACCCAAAATACACTATCGTTTCGAAATCTGGGTCCCAAAATAAATTCCATCGAGGCCAACTCCAGAGCATCCAATTGAGCATCACGCCATGACCCCCACCCTTACTACGAGAAAATCCTTGCCCTTAAAGCGACAACTGTCTGGTAAGCACGCTCAGAGACAGGAGAAACCCAACCCAAATAGGACATCTCCAACCAAGGATCTACACAGAGGCGTCAACAATTCTTGGGTGGAGAGCCTTGGACAGCACAAGAGGCCAGGCTTTTCAGGGGCAAACTATTGAACACACTAAAGAAATTACTGTCAGTGCAGGAGCAGTGCTAAATGAGCACCCAGAGAAGGGAACCCTGAGCCCATGCAAAACAAGCAAAGTTCACACAACAGAGCTGGGATGAACACACACTTGTGAAGCAAATGCCAATATAAAGGTACAAAACCCGAGCAAATGGTTCTCGCAGGACAAAGTCCCGAAGAAAGGCTGATACTTAGCTGAGAGGCAGTAGGACGGTGTCCCGGCAGCACAGCACAGCAATCAACCACATCAGAGACAGGACTGACCTTTAAGCTGGCTGGTGGCTGTGGGTCACATGGTGGCTGCAATCTGAACAAATGGGTTCTAGCTACTTTTGGGTGAATCAGTTGCTTGGAAGGAATACAGTAGTTTGTAGAGTTGTTTGGCTGTTTTGATGATTTATTTTCTATGAATCTTGTAGTTGTCTATAAAGCTTCACCAATTTTCAGGATGTTTTCCTAGAGTGTGACCAGCGTGACTAAATAAGTGGAACTTATCTCTCTGCTTCTGAGGTTCTAGCTCTGGTCTCTGGTAGGAAAAACGGGACTCCAGCAATTGATGTGACCCAGTAATGGGGGTAATCTCAAGAGAGCTTCAGGGAGCTACCAAGGTTCTCCAAGAAAGCCAGTATTGAATGTAATGAAAACCTCTGTCTGGTGGATCCTTAGTACCTGGATGGGGTTCCGGGAGTTCTTCTACTCCCCAAACCCAGCCCAGGGTCAGGCTTGACTTGTGAGAGCTTGATTCAACAGGCTGTTGCTTGCAGCAGCGGCCCTCAGGACTACATATCCATCACAGCCTGGCTGGCCTGGCACTTCTTGTAGAAAACTATCTAGTTTTCTCATGAAGGTGTCCACACTATCTCCTTGACTAGCTACCTGGATAGCTCCACTGATTTCAATCCACTCTAGGCTACCTGAGATTTTCATGAGAGTAGGCAACGTAGAGGACACGGCAAACCTCCAATCAGATGTAGATCAGGTCTTTCTATGGGCTACAGAAAATAATATGGTGTTTAACGAAGATAAGTTCCAGCTCATGCGCTACGGAAAAAATGAAAATATAAAAACAAAAACCACGTACAAAACTCAGGCAATGTAAAGGATCTGGGTGTACTCATGTCGGAAGACATGAGTACACAAAGAACACACTTTACAAAGAACACCTTTAAAGAACACAATAAAGTAGCCGTCACAACTGCAAGAAAAATGACAGGTTGGATAACAAGAACTTTTCACACTAGAGATGCTATACCGATGATGATACTTTTCAAAATGCTTGTGCTCTCTAGAGTGGAGTACTGCTGCACAATGACAGACCCTTTCAAAGCTGGAGAAATTGCTGACTTGGAGAGCGTGCAGAGATCCTTTGCTGCTAGAATCCACTCGGTAAAACATCTAAATTACTGGGACCGACTAAAGAGCCTAAATCTGTACTCTCTTGAGTGCAGGCGGGAGAGATACATAATAATTTACAGGTGGAAAATAATTGAGGGGCTGGTCCCAAACCTGCACACAGAAATAACATCACATGAAAAAGAACTAGGAAACAAAAGGCTGGCATACCGAAAGGGAAATTATGAGGAGATGAGAAGCTTCCTAAAGGAAATACCTTGGGACACAGACCTCAGAGCTAAGTCTGTACAAGATATGATGGACTATGTCACCCAAAAGTGTCAGGAGGCAGTAAGCAGATACATCCCGGCCCAAAAGGAAAAATCCGAGAAACAAAAGAAGAATCCATGGTATAATAGGGCATGTATGGAAGCAAAGAAACTGAACAAAAGAGCATGGAGGAACTTCCGGAATAACAGAACACCAGACAGCACAGAGAGATACCAGAGAACCAGGAATGAATATGTCAGGGTGAGAAGAGAAGCAGAGAAAAGTTATGAAAATGATATAGCAAACAAAGCCAAAACCGAACCAAAGCTACTCCACAGTCACATCAGAAGGAAAACAACAGTGAAAGAACAGGTAGTGAAACTTAGAACAGGCGAGGACAGGTATACAGAGAATGACAAAGAGGTGTGTGATGAACTCGACAAGAGGTTCCAAGAGATCTTCACAACAGAACAAGGTGAGGTCACTGTGCTAGGAGAAAGGGACGTAAACCAGGCGGCCTTGGAAGAGTTTGAAATTACAAGAGAGGTCAAGAGACACCTGCTGGATCTGGATGTTAGAAAGGCTGTTGGTCCAGACGGGATCTCGCCATGGGTACTGAAAGTGTGTGCAGAGGCACTTTGCTTGCCACTCTCCATAGTGTATAGTAGGTCACTGGAGACAGGAGACCTACCAGAAATATGGAAGACAGCGAATGTGGTCCCAATATACAAAAAGGGCGACAGGCAAGAGGCACTGAACTACAGGCCAGTATCCTTGACTTTTATACCATGCAAGGTGATGGAGAAGATCGTGAGAAAAAACCTGGTAGCACATCTGGAGAGAAGGGACTTCGTGACAAATCGACAACATGGGTTCAGGGAGGGTAAATCTTGCCTGACTGGCTTAATAGAATTCTATGACCAGGTGACACAGATTAAGCAAGAAAGAGAGGGCTGGGCTGACTGCATTTTCTTGGATTGTCGGAAAGCCTTTGACACAGTACCGCATAAGAGGCTGGTACATACTGGTACATAAGCTGGAGAGACAGGCAGGTGTAGCTGGTAAGGTGCTCCAGTGGATAAGGGAGTACCTAAGCAATAGGAAGCAGAGAGTTACGGTGAGGGGTGAGACCTCCGATTGGCGTGAAGTCACCAGTGGAGTCTCTCAGGGCTCTGTACTCGGTCCTATCTTGTTTCTGATATATGGTATAGATTCATTTCTCTCAATGTTTGCGGACGATGCCAAAATTATGAGAAGGATTAAGACAGAAGAGGACTGTTTGAGGCTTCAAGAAGACCTAGACAAACTGAAGGAATGGTCGAACAAGTGGTTGTTAGAGTTCAACCCAACCAAATGTAATGTAATGAAGATAGGTGTAGGGAGCAGGAGGCCAAATAGAAGGTATAATCTGGGAGAGGAAATCCTTCAGGAGTCAGAGAAAGAAAAAGACTTGGGAGTTGATATCACACCAGACCTGTCTCCTGCAGCACATATCAAGAGGATAACATCAGCGGCATATGCCAGGCTAGCCAACATACGAACGGCATTCAGAAATTTGTGTAAAGAATCATTCAGAACTTTGTATACCACATATGTCAGGCCAATTCTGGAGTATGCAGCCCCAGCATGGTGTCCATATCTAGTCAAGGATAAGATTAAACTGGAAAAAGTTCAGAGATTTGCCACCAGACTAGTACCCGAGCTGAGAGGTATGAGCTACGAGGAGAGACTGCAGGAATTGAACCTCACTTCGCTGGAAGACAGAAGAGTTAGGGGGGACATGATCACTACATTCAAGATTCTCAAGGGAATTGATAGGGTAGATAAAGACAGGCTATTTAACACAAGGGGCACACGCACAAGGGGACACAGGTGGAAACTGAGCGACCAAATGAGCCACAGGGATATTAGAAAGAACTTTTTTAGTGTCAGAGTGGTTGACAAATGGAATGCATTAGGAAGTGATGTGGTGGAGGCTGACTCCATACACAGTTTCAAGTGTAGATATGATAGAGCCCAATAGGCTCAGGAATCTGTACACCAGTTGATTGATGGTTGAGAGGCGGGACCAAAGAGCCAGAGCTCAACCCCCGCAAGCACAACTAGGTGAGTACATGAGACCAGAAGACATGGCCGGATGTGCAGAATACCCCTGTTAAAAAGCAGAGGTCCAACAGATACTCCGAGAGAGAACTATCAACATCAGAGGCCCGAGACTGTTCAACACGCTTCCACTACACATAAGGGGCATAACTGGCAGACCCCTCACAGTGTTCAAGAGAGAACTGGATAAGCACCTCCAAAGGATACCTGATCAGCCAGGCTGTGACTCATACGTCAGGCTGCGAGCAGCCGCATCTAACAGCCTGGTTGATCAGTCCAGCAACCAGGAGGCCTGGTCGATGACCGGGCCGCGGGGACGCTAAGCCCTGGAAGCATCTCAAGGTAGGCCCTTTGAGTCTTTGTAAGCCTACTGTGGATGAAAGGGCAAAACCTGGCCCCCCCTCTCTGTAGAGATGCAGGGAGCTACTAGTTCACTCTAGCTACTAGTTGGGATACTAGTTCAATCTAATCAAGAAAAGATCACCCAGAAAGGTGTGCAAGTCAAAACACACTTTCAGCAGTGTAAAAAAAAAAATTATGATGAGACATTTCATTACATTCAATGCTGATTTTCTGAGAGTTATGGTAGCTCCTTGAGCTATGTCATCACAAAGAACAAAACAAATGGGTTCTCACTCACCAGAGGCAGAGGAGAGCCGCAGAAAGTAACCTCCAAGAAAGGGGAAATTAACGACCAGATAACCGCCCTAAAGCCAAGCAAGGACCAAGACATTAGAAAACTGCAGACAGAGCTGCAATGAACATGATGGGCCCAAGGGTGCTGGCTAAACTTGATAATATTGTGGATAGTCAGACACACAAAATCTTGGATCCAGAACAGCACAGTGCACTATTATTGGATTGGAGGTAATGGTGAATGGCCACAACCGAACAACAAATGATGCACCCCCTGGTCAAACCAATCAAGCAGCTTTCACCTAAGGAACCTCTCTGGATACCAGCAATCTTATTCTCAGCCAGAAAGGAAGGAGAGGGCTGTAAGGAAAGAAAGACCCCCAGGACCAAAAGAAAATCTTCCCATGTGAAGGAGAGCATGAAGCTCTACAACCTGACAACCAGAAGCAAGGACCAACCAAAAATAAAGCCGGACAGAAACAATCCCCAACTGAAGGAGCAACAGAAAACCAAGGTGAGGAGAGAAAAACCAAAACTTTGTCTAAAGACAAAAGCAGCTCAGGAGCAGGCTGGAGGTGAAAGGTGAAGATGAAGAAAGCTCAGGAGGAGCTTGAGCAGGCTGGAGGTGAAAAACACGACAACTTGTGAAATGTGGCCGATTAAATATTGAGGCTAAATGTCAACAGCAGCAGCTCCGCCTAGGGCAAATGATATACTTGGAGAGGGTTCTGAGAATTCCTTCTACTCCGAGCCCGGCCTGAGGCCAGGCTCGACTTGTGATAACTTGGTCTAACAGCCTGTTGCTTGGAGCGGATCCCAGGCCGACATACCCACTATAGCCCGGTTCGTCCGGCACATTTTACAAGAACTTATCTAAGTGCCTCTTGAATCCATCCAACTTTGTTCCAACAATATTTCTAATGCCTGCTGGGAGGGTGCTGAATACTGGTGGACCTCTGATGTTCAGACAGTGCTCTTTGGTTGTGCCTATGGCACCTCTACTCTTCACTGGTTCTATTCTGTATTTCCTTCCGTATGTTGTTATTCTACTGTGCAAATTTGGGACCTGGCCTTCAAGTATCTTCCACGTATATTATTTGATATCTCTCTTGTCTCCTTTCCAAGGAGTATGTTACGACCCTGGGTTCCTCAGTGGAAACCAGAGGTCAAAATTGAGCTAAATAAACTACCTTATAGTATTGGACGCATCGCGAGCTGCATTTGTTTGTATCTTCCCTGCCAGACATAAGACTATTCTTGTTTCTCAAAGAGCATTTAAAGACTGAGCTTGGGGTTGATTATTAAATAATAAAATAGGCACCAACTATGTTTACTAATACTTTCTAATCATTTGTAAAGTAAACCTGAGTAAAGTTGGGATAGGAATGCTGTACGATTAGTTGAGTAGTCTGCTGGCAGCGAGTGAACTGAGGGAGGAGAGTGGAGATGCTCGCTCTTGTCTGTTGGCGTTCGAGGTGTAAACAGCGGGACTCTGTGGCTGCACCTCTCCCCCCTTCTACCTTTCCTCACCTTCAGTTAAGTATATCCTGTGTTGTAAGTGTGCCTACTCTGGTAGTAAAGATTGGTGAGACCTGGGGGTAGTATTTGCCAGTGTTTTGGGGACCCTAAGTGTAGTGTTGTGTTGTGTTGTATTAGGGTACCACGTGGTCTCACTACCCTAAGCTGCATCAAGCTTCAGTTCTTAACCAGTAGTACTTTACCCTAGCTTGTTCACAGTGTAAACCTTGTATCCTATGTGGACCAAGGCTTTTAACATAAGATAGTGTGGTAAAGTAATTATTATTGTTATTGGTGTGAATGTATATGGGGGGTTGTTAAGGGGTTAATAAATAAGTTAGTTAAAGGAGTATCCATTTTTCCTGTGTAGGAGATCTATGATCAACCTCTAGGCTGACTATTGCTGTAATAAGCCACTACAAGTTTATTTTTATATATTTAGTGGGGGCCGGGCCTTTGAGATCTCCCATATTTGATGACTCTTAATGCTAACTACTGCCCCTACATCCATTAACACTAGACTCCCCATAGAACACACTTTTATTTGTAACAGTACATTTTGAGAGTGTTGAGACGGTCCCAAAGAGTTTAGAAGTTTTATCATTTTTATGTGTGCCGTATGTTCTGTATACAGTACAGCATTTCTTCCCGTGTATATTAGGCAACAGTAACCTATCATGAGCATGAGCAGCCTATCCACAAAAAGACAAAAACAAAAGGACCTCTGGTACAGAAAGTGAAGACATGTGACATTTAGAAGCTAAATTCAATTAATCTACATTGGCACCCCTGTGGCAGAAGAACACACACAAATTAACACTTTCGCGCTATCTGGACGCGCCGGCGCGTTCGGTTTCGTCTAACGTAAACGCATAGTGGACATAAAGTTATGTCTACTTTTAAAATATTTGTATAAAATTCAATTTTTATCCGATTTACTTTGGGTTTGTTTCAAACTGCGCGCTATGAGGCTCTCTTTCTCACCACTAGGCTGCATGGTACAATAAGTTCATGAAAGGTGTGGATAACTTCGATCAAATGGTATTTTGTCCCAAACGGGTTGCAGGTGGGTGACTTTAGCCGTTTATACTGGTAATTCTTCCCCCATATCATGTATTATATGCACATGTCTGTTTAGGGAATTTTATTCCGATCAATATACAACCAAAAATAACTGTGTGCAACAAGTATAATCTTGACAAACATAACAAAAGTAAAAATATTTCGTGTGTGTTTGACGCTCACTGATATGTTCCAGCGTTGTTTTATATTTGTCGCTATTCTAACTTACGCTTTGTTGATATTTTTTACCTATGGGCAAATAGAACATTCTATTGCGAACACATTGACATAAAAATGAATGACGTACATAGAAAATTAATGTCATGAGAGTGAAATAAGTATAAACTTTCAAAGCGCCGTGCGTCGTCCCGTCACCGATACCGGGTAACAATTTCACCACTTCCCACACTCTTGCAGGCGGGCTGCATCATTATTCTATGCTTATATTCATATCACCGTGTTGGGAATTTCATTGCGAGTCCATTGATACCAAAATTAACGCTGTAGAACAAGTGTGGAGGTGATTACAATCCCAAGAGTAAAAACATTTTGTTGCTGATGGGCGCTCACGGCGAGTCATCTACGTAGTTATTTATTTGGTGCTGGTATCCCTATATGTTTCGTGACTTATTTTACAAATGTTCTTCTAGAGAATTTTATTGCGAACACGTTGGTACCAAAATGAAATACGTAGCATGAGAACTAAGGTCAGAAGAGTAAAAAGAGTATACACATTTTTGTTTTTACGCTTAAGCGATAAAAACGCAGCGCGCACATTCGGTTGGCTGAGTGACCTTTGCGGAGAGTGCGAAAGTGTTAAGAGCAAGTTCTATTGACATTACGCATTAAATTCACACACTTATTCACCGAGCAATTTCTAAATGGTTAAATGACCCTGTACAGTCTTTTCAAAATTGTCATATCCTTGCACATTGTATTATGCCTTTCAAGAGCGGATGCACTATGCCCTAAAACTATGTACTCGTTCATGTATTTACTATCTTCAGAAGGTCCTACCTTTGTCTCTTGTTAATATTCCTTTCCTGGAGAGGGAGAGCTGTGATGTCAAATGTTGAATTTAGCAGAGTATCACTTTTGCTGACCTGAAACAAAAGAAATGTTAATACAAAAATTAAGTAACTTTTTTCTGATGTTACAGCAGTCACTTCTCATGGGAAACAAAATAATAAAAAACTTTTGGGTCCCCTAAAATTGTGTAGGAAGGTAACCTTCGGTGACCAGGAGAAGACCTGGTCAAGGACCGGGCTGCGAAGCACATTTTGGGGCTGTTGAGGCCCGAAATCATCGCAAGGTAAGGTAACAAGAACATACAGAAGATTAACTTTACTGAGATCACTAACAACTTTAGATGCAAATGCCAAAAGAAACTACACACACTACATCAGAGAACTGAGGCAGACCCCTGGCTACCTCCCTCCTTCCTCCATATGAGGGGGAAGGCGGGGCATACGAGTTGGCGCTAATTTTATGAAACATCAATCATTTGTTTGCATTGTTGGCCAAGTTCTACAGCAATTTCTCGAGATTGGTCTTAAAACACCAGTAGTGGTTTGGTTTGGTTTCGTTGACTTTCTGGGTGCTTTCCTCAGTGGTGACATACATGAAAATCTTAATATATAAATGCCACTGCTCCCTGCACCTCCTGTGAGGGGGACAGGTTCTGGTTCCCGGTAGGCCATAGAAATGCACAACCGATAGGACCTAGTAGTGACACTATCTGACACAGTAACTTCAAGGAGCCACAAGGAGCTCCTCCCAGAATAGTTTGTACATTCACTAAACCCTGCCACCTGGTGGCAGTTGACATGGAGGATAACTTGTTAGTTTTTAGCAGGTCATAACAGGTTTCTTTCAATTTTTGGTTCATATATATTTCTCAGAATTTTGAGTCGTTCAACATAACAAAATTTTTAAAAATTAAAACTATCACTACACTCTTAAATCAAATACAATTTTCTTAGTGTATAACTTCCACACTTGTCATGATTTACCGAACAACCTAACATGACATAACAGTTTTGATAGCCTCAGAGCCTGGGGTCAATGTAATAGGATGTTGAACCTTTTCTCTAGCCACCTGGAAACTAGCTACATTTTGTATTTGAAGACCAAAACCTGCTGAGTGACCAGCTGTTGTTGCAATGGAAAGTTTAAAGAGATGACACGAAACTTATCACAATAGGGAACCAACTTGGCAATTTTAAAAAATCTTTGATGGTAGCCCATCTTTATTATAGACTTACAAAATACAGTACAGTAGTTAATACTTACATCTGATATGCTTGAATTTGGCGTATTTCTGTTCTTGCACTTCAAAAGTAAACATTTACACTTCATGCTACAAGTAGTTGCATTCTTACGACAGGCACACATTTTTTTGGAACAATCTCCTTTGCATCCACATTTTGTGTCCCCGTTTGAGTCGCGCTTCAAAAGAGTTCTTCTGGTCTTCTTTCCAGCACTTTCTTCATCATTTTCACCATTCTCCCGTGAAGTCCTTATGCCTTGCTACAAAAAAATAAACAAATGCAAGCACAGTATTCTAGTTGTATCAAGAAGTGAATATAATCTAACCACACACAAATGTTATATTTGATATCTACTGATGAATATACATACTTTAATTAAATTTCCGAAGCCAACTTAACCCTTAAAGGACGCAAATTGTATACGTAAAACTTTGCAATTCTTCTCATACTGCACACGTTTTCTTAATAAATGAGGAAGGAACTCTATTCTACATCAACAACCCTCATACCATTTTCATGTTTACAAATTGAAAACACCCTCATTAAAAAATAAAGTTCTGTGTGTTTTAACAAGTGTTGTTCTAGGATGAAAGCTACATTCGTGGTGTCACACCTGGTCGGCCGAGCGGACAGCACGCTGGACTTGTGATCCTGTGGTACCGGGTTCGATCCCGGGCGCCGGCGAGAAACAATGGGCAAAGTTTCTTTCACCCTATGCCCCTGTTACCTAGCAGTAAAATAGGTACCTGGGTGTTAGTCAGCTGTCACGGGCTGCTTCCTGGGGGTGGAGGCCTGGTCGAGGACCGGGCCGCGGGGACACTAAAGCCCCGAAATCATCTCAAGATAACATCTCAAGAAGATACCCTATAATATTCGTCACACGACACTTTTAAACTGCTGACGGTTTTGGCATCAACCATCTTCTCGTTTATATTGTTCGAACCGCCCACAACTCTTTTCGCAAAGAAAAGTTTCATTTTCTTGCACCTCTGATTTCTAAGCTGGAGTCTGTGGCCTTTTGTTCCAGACGTTAACATTTTTAAATATTTCTCTTTGTTAACTTTGTCGATTCCTGTCACAATTGTGTGTGTACTCACCTATTTGTGCCTGCAGGATCAAGCATTGATTCTTGGATCCCACCTTTCTAGCCTTTGGTTGTTTAAAGCAATTACTCTTATCCTCCTTCCCTATCATACCTAGTTTTAAAGCTATTAATAGTGTTTGCTTCCACAATGTGCTCCTCTAGTTCATTCCACAACTACTCTCACACTAAAAGAAAACTTTCTAACATCTCTATGACTCATCTGAGTTTCTAGCTTCCACCCATGTCCCTTGCTCTGTTGGTATTCCATGTGAACATTTCGTCTATTTCCACTTTGTCAATATTTGTTATGCTGCTATTGTATCTCCCCGCTCCCTCCATATTTTTTTATAAAATTGTCAGGTTCATTTTCTTCAGTCACTCTTTATATCCCATCCCATGCAACTCCGGGACTAGACTCGTCACAAATTTCTGAACCTTTTCCAGTTTCTTTGTGTGTTTCTTTAGGTGGGGGCTCCATGATGGGGGATGCATACTCTAAGTGGTCTCACATAGGCAGTGCAAAGCGCTCTGAATGGCTCCTTATTTAGGTTTCTGAATTATGTTCTAACTTTTGCTAGCATAGAGTACGCTTGTTACAGTATCGACACCGTTGCTGGAGTGAGGCGTGGCAATTTCGGCATCATTTATGGACCTGCACTCGAACTCCAAGGCATTAGGCGAGACGCAGACAATGCCATCTGTTGGCGGAGGTGAGGCATCTATGAAAGGCTCCCGTTTCATTCCTCAATTAGGGAGTGAGGTCGATAATGGTGACCTCTGGTGAGTGAAGTAACGATATCAACGCCATCTAGACTGCATTCAATTGCATTTGTAGTTCCCCGGTGACAGATTCTCATTCTTTGTTCTCCTTGTATACTTTGTCTGGCTAATGACTTATGTTGACCGACATGCCCGAGATTGGACCAAGAGAAGTTACAAGACGACAGTAGTGGCCACATGCTGAGAAGTGCTGCTAGTGTGTAGCAGGAAACGTCTGCCAGGGTGTTACAGACTTCTGGAAATGATTATCTGTGTCCCCCGTCAGCATGCTGCTAAAGCCCTCTGTCAGTGTGTTTCTGGAGAGCAAATTGCAACATCCTGACGATATGGTGTGTGGACTGGCCAGTGTTGAGGAAAGTAAACTCGCCGGTGATTACCATTGAACATGGACGACGTATACTCGAAGATAATGGACTCCCCGGGTTTGATTGATTGATGAAGATTAAGCCACCCAAAAGGTGGCACGGGCATGAATAGCCCGTAAGTGGTGGCCCTTTTGAGCCATTACCAGTATCAAGAGCTGATACTAGAGATCTGTGGAGGTGCGACTGCACCCTGCGTGATGGGAGATGTCTCCCGACCACCGGGTTTTGAAGAACACTGCATATATACCGAGTGTCCTATGTGAAAGTGACACTGTGTACGTAAGTGTAGTTATACTTCGATAGATAATATATTAGTGAAGGTGTTATTGCATCTTGTTTACCCCCTTTTATTCCTTGCAAAATTACTTGCTACTGCCAATTCTTGATAACTTACCATTGACTTGGGGTGCACTCACAGAAGAGGAGGCTCTAAGGCCCATTAAGTACAAACAACCCAGTTACTGGCTCAAGTAGGCCGTAACATCGCTGCTGTCATTATCCAATTTATGTGTGCCTCAGGAATTAGATTTGATGTTATGTCCATTTCCAGGTCCCTTTCTCAAATTGTCACAGGAAGATAGTTTCCCTTCATTGTGTACTCCTTTGGGTCTCCTTTGATCTCCCGTTACCTATTCCATTTCCCTAAGTTTACACTTACTCGTGTTGAACTCTAGTAGTCATTTCTCTGACAATCTCTGCAGCTTGTTCAAGGCCCATTGAAAAATATCCTACAATCCTCATCTGTCATAACTTGTCATTAATTTCGTATAGTCCGCGAACATCAACACACAGGACTAGACTCCTGTAGACATGTCGTTCCTGTATATTAGAAATATAACTGGTCCCAGCACCAATCCTTGAGGTACTCCACTCGTTACAATTCACCAGTCTGATTTCTCACCCCTGACAGCTACTCTCTCGCTCCTGCCTGTTAAGTAATTCTTAACCCAAGCTAGGGCTTTTCTGCTTACTCCCACCTGCCTCTCAAGGTTGAATAGTCGTTTCCTGTGCGGTACTGTGTCAAAGGTTTTCTGGCAGTCCAGAAATATGCAGTCTGCCCATCCTTCCCTCTCCTGCCATATTCTTGTTATTTTAGCATAGAATTCCAGGTTTGTTAGGCATGATTTTCCTTCTCTAAACCCATGTTGGTGTTTATTTATAAACCTAATGTTCTGCAGCTGTGTAACCAGTCTGAACCCATGTTGCTAATGTTCTGTAGGTGTGTAACCAGTCTTAACCGATAATTCTTTCGAGTACTTTACAGGGGGATGCTCGTCAGTGATACTGAGTTAAGTATCTCTTCCCTATATCCTTTTTTTAAAATTAGTACATTTGCCTTCTTCCAGCAACTGGGCAACTCTCCCTTTGTAAGTGACTCATTATAGATCCTTGCTAGAGGCACGCTGAGGGCCTGCGCTGCCTCTTGGTATCCACGGTGATACACTGTCTGGTCCAACTGCTTTAGTTTCATCCAGTGTTGTCAGCCACTTCATTACCACCTCTGCTGTCACCTCTATATCTGTTAGTTTCTCCTCTTGGGAGATCTCCTTTTCTAGCAATGGGAGCTGTTCAGGCTCGGTTGTAAACACACTATGGAAACGCATTCAGTGCCTAGCACATTTCCTTGTCGTTTTCTGTATATGCCCCTTCTGTTCTCCTTAGTCTTTTTACTTGGTTGTTCACTGACATTTTTCCTTCTTATATGACTAGAAATTTAGGTTGCTTTTTTGCTTTCATTGCAATATCGTTTTCATAATTCCTTTTCGATACATTCCAAGCTCTGTTGCCTCTAATCCTCTTGTCCTCTGTCCTTTCTCCACTCCCTCCTGCTTCTCATTTTTGCTTCCTAGCACTGTCAATTACACCATGGGTTTTTATATTCCATCCTAATTTGTTCCTTTATTGTTAGTATAAAACTCTTTTCAACCTCCTTGCATTTCCACTTGACTAGGTCCATCATGCACTTTTTTCTTGGTTCCTCTTTTCACTGCACTTCCAAATATTCTCCTATCCTCCTGTAATTAATATATGTATGTATGTATATGTCTTGTCACCTCACCCAAAACTTTTGTACCATGTCACCTCATCCTATAGAGTATAAGTATGAAGAATTTGTGTGTAAATTAAGTCTTTGAAAATGTAATACGAATTACGAAACGCGTTCAGGCGTAAGACAATTAAAAAATGAATTTTGGAGAATTGTTATTTTTATTACCACCGACAGAAGAAAAACTTAAGAAAGAGAAAATTCGGGGTAGAATTATTAATCCTATCTTTTCGGTCATATTCAACAATGTATGTATATGTATGTATGTATGTGTGTGTGTATACAGATATACATATTGGCATGTGTGCACAAGTTTGAGCATACAGATAAAAACCATGAAAAAATATTGTCAATGGGAAACTTACTGTTATCTGTTTGATTTTTTTAAAGAGCGGTGTTTTGCACCAATCTGGATCATCCTTTTTATCTTCATCAACAGCTTCTTCTTCTGTAATATATTCCACCTCCTCCTCCTCCTCCTCCTCTTCCTCGTCGTCTTCTGTTCCTGAAGACAGCAAAACAACATCTGCCTTCTTGGCTTTGGACTTCACATTAGTGGGATTATTTGCTCTGCCCAAGTTCAAAGGTACCTGTAAGAAACATATTTCATGTGTGTGGGAAGACTCATATTAAAAACAACCTTGCCAAGCATAGTCACACCTCAAAAATACAAGCTTCCATATAATTTATATTTTTTAGGTTATTTACCACCAAATTTCCCACATTTCCCAGATTTTTTGAGAAATTGAAAATCAACCATAAATTTTGTTTTAATTATGCTTAAAAGCATAATTTTTGGCAAAGGCACTAATTATTTTTCTATTGTGCACTAATCTAATATAATAAAAAATGTGATTTGAAAAACAGTGCAACCTCGATTCGTGAACTATATCCTAACATCACCGATTCATTGGAGCGAAGGATTCGTGGTAACAGATGTCTTCTGGAACCATTTGTCAGATACTATTTTTTAAGAAAAATACATTGCTTCAGCTGTTTCTTTCTTCTAATGTTGCTTCTATGTATGAAAATCATTAATCCTCCAACTGTGCACAGAGACTAGGCTTTTTTTTAGGTCCAGATTTAAAACTCTCATGGATACACGGGGTGTATCCACATGTATCCAAACACGTGGTCTAACCAAACACTGCTACTGCTACACCATTAACTAAATTTGTATATAAAGATAAGGTTGGAAAGTTACCTGGGCGTTTCTAATGCTTGAAACGTCACCAATCTGCTTCTTCAGTTGCTCACACTCTTGAGTCTTTGCCTGAAGTTCTTCGTGTAATTCAGAAAGGCGAGCAATTTCAACTTCCTGGAACTTTAATCTTTCTCTGAGAGCATTATCCTCTTCAGACTGATTTGGTCCCACTTCACCCTAAAAAATATCAAAACAAAAATCAAATGTTAAACATTAACTACCTTCAGGTTATCAACAATATAATACAGTGGAGAGAAACATACAGGTAGGAAAATGAAGGACACATACCTGGAAAGGGTCTCAGAAATTCTACTGGGAGTTATCGAGTTCTACCGATAACTTGTGATAAGTTTTTGCAAGTCTTATCGACTTGTGATAACTTGTTCCAACAGGCTGTTGCTTCGATCAGCCCGCAGGCCCACATATCTACCATATCCTGGTTGGTCTGGCAGTTCTTGCAAGAACCTGTCTAAGTGCCTCTTGAATCCACCCACCTTTGTTCCAACAATATTTCTAATGCCTGCTGGGAGGGAGTTGAACAGCTGTGGGCCCCTGATGTTCAGAGAGTGCTCTTGTATGTGCGTATGGCACATACATACTCACTTTGCTTTGTTTTGCACATCATCATCATCTTGATAGTAGGTGCAGTTTGCATGAAGGGTTTGTCCTCCCAATGACTGCACTAGTGCAGATGTTGGTAGAGGCGTTTATGTTGAAGATGATAAGAGTTTCAAAAGTGCTTGTTGCGTTGCGCTATAGACAGAGGAGTGGCGACTAGAACAGAGGTGTGTGTTAGAGGGAGACTTGTCGCACTGTAGGGCGGTGTGTTGTGTTTATGGCGTCAGCTGATCCTTGGTACTGCGACGAGGCAGTTGTTTTCTGTGTTTAGCTGTTGGTGGCGCCAGGTATAAATGTGGCGCGGGTCAGATGTGACCCAATTTGTTGGTCGATTGGAGATATTTAGCCAGTGCTTTGACTATTTGGTATTTTCTTGTAACGAGTGGTCACCGCCTCCTAATATATACTCGATGGTAAAGGGTATTTTGAGTGAGATAAGTACTTGTTTAAAATTTACTCTGGCACTATAATGTCGGAAGCAGTGAAGGAGATAGTGTTCGATTGTTTCAGGCACCTGACAGTGGATGCAGAGTTCGTTGATGTCTGTTCTGTACTTAGAGCTGTGTGCTGCTAGTTTGGTGTGTCCCAGCCTTAATCTGGTCATCGCTATATCAATTTCTCTGGTTTTATATCTGACATGTTTCCAAGTTTCCCATTTCTTTTTAATGGACCCATAGTACAAAGGTGAGCATGACGTTTTCCATTTCGTTGCAAAATCTTGGGTGATGGTATTTTCGAAGGCTCCTTTACGTGCAACATGGGGAATTGGATGACGGGTAATGTGAGGTGTATTGTGCATTGCTTTGGCTAGTTGATCTACTAGTTCATTATGGAGAATACCACAATGCGCTGGGACCCATTGGATAGAGGTATCATAACCGTTCAATCGATGTTCATGAAGAAGTTGAAGACATGGGTAAACAAACTCCTTGCACGTTTTTGAAGAGTACGTAATTGCTTGAATCGCACTCTTGGAGTCACTGCAGATTGTATATGTCCCGATTGGTAATGTTGTGATTATTTGGAGAGCTTGATATAAGGCATATAATTCAGCTGTGAAAACAGATAGTTGGTTTGGTAACCGCCATCCCTGCTTGAGATGGTATTCCGGTATCCATACAGCGCTAGTGACCGAGGGGACGTTGTTCATGATGATGCAAGATCCATCTGTATAAATCGCTGTGGTATTTGGGTAGCAATTTTTCATTGTTGAGAGAAAGACTGAGGCTATGGCTGAGTTTGGTGCAGACTTTGGAATGTTGTCTTCGAGTTGTATTGCTGTATTAGGAGTTGTAAAAAGCCAGGGTGGAATAGGGGGAACAGTAAGTTGGGTTTCCGAGTTTTGGAGTAGAGAGAGGTCTATACAGTATTGAGGTTATTTGTAGCCCGTGTGAGGAAAGGTGAGTGATTGGTTGGGAAGCGGGGGTTATGTGGGTTAACTGTTGGGTTAATTTATGATCTGTATGGGTGTGTCTGGTGAGCAGTGGTACAGAGTGACAGATAGTTGGCACACATTATGTCTCGTCTGGTGGCTAAGCTTGTGAGGCCCGTTTCCCCGTAAAGTCCGAGGATAGGAATGGAACGCATTGCGCCACATATAAGTCGCATGGCATTGTTTTGGATGACCTCTAGGCTCTGTAGGTTAGTAGGCACAGCCGACGCATATGCTTGGCAACAATAGTCTAGTTGGCTGCGAATGTAGGTTGTAGAAACGGAGCAAGATTTTATGGTGTGCTCCCCAGGTGGTGCCAGTGAGGGCTTTAAGTATGGCGAGTCGGGGTTGTGTCGTCTGTTTAAGATGTTGAATGTGTGCTTTCCAGGTAAGTGAGGGCGAGTCTAAGTGCATGCCAAGGTATTTATGTTCTTGTACGTGTTGGATGGTAGTGTTGTGTATTGTGAGGGTGGGTAGATGAACAAGTCTTTTTTAGTGAAAATTTGATAATAGGTTTTGGTAGTCCTAACTTGAAGGCCCCATTGTTGTGTCCAATCTATGAGGTGGTCAAGTGCTGTTTGCATTGTTGAGATTGTATTAGGTAAGGCATTGTCTGAATAATACAGTGTTAAGTCGTCGGCGTACGCCGAGAGGTGAACAGGATGGGTGTTAGACAAATCTGCTAAGAATGCAGCAAAAAGGGTTGGGCTTAGTATGGAGCCTTGTGGGACACCCGTTTGTATTGGGATGTCATCGGAAAACTCGCCTTGTATATAGACTGTAGAAGTCCTGTTCGTAAGATAGGATTTTAACCATAAAAGTAATCTTCCCTGTACTCCTAAACGCGCAAGCTTTGCGAGGAGGCAAGCATGAGGAATGCTATCAAAAGCTCCTTTGAGGTCTAAGTAGAGAACAATACAAAATTTGCTGCTTCTGAGGGAGGTGCGGATTTCATGTTCAAGGCAGAGTATTTGATCGAGTGTGGAGCATTGCGGTCGAAATCCAGCTTGGAGTGACGGTATAATATTATTATATTCTAGGTACCATTGGAGGCGAGTATGTACTAGTCTTTCCATGACTTTACTGAGACAAGATAGTAGGGAAATAGGTCTATATGACGCAGGTTGGGATGGGTCTTTTCCTGGTTTAACCCTTGCACTGCTCACCTATTTTCGGCAAAAACGTCTTGGTGCAATTGTCAAGGACATATTTTTGTTATTTTTACAAATGTTCAGGTAAATTTAATGTCAAAATGTTTCCAAAGTCAACTATTTCCATTTCAAAACACAAATAGTAATGAAAACATTAAAAAACATTCAAATATAGCCAAATTAAAAAACAAAAAGCACAGCTCTCTGAGCGCCTAAAGGCGCTTTGCGCAGTGCAGTGGTTAAGGAACGGAAGAATAATACTGGTCTGCCATTGTGAGGGAATATTTCCGTGAGTCCAGCATAGGTTGTAATAGTTTAGGAGAGTACTATGTGCAGTTGATGGAAGATAGTTGAACTCATTAGAGTTCATATGGAATTCCATCCTCTCCAGGTGCCTTGCCAAGAGGTAGGCGGGTTAAGGCTAATTGTAGCTCGCTTAAGGTGTACATGTTGTCGACGCCGGGTATGGGTAGCAGTATGGCACGGTCAATTTCTTGTCTGAGGGGGAGTTCTTGGGCATGAAAGAAGGGTGTTGAGAGGTTAACTTTAAAGGCCACGCTGCCGTTAGAACCATGTAAGCATAAGGGTAGCTGCCAACATAGGAACAGCATATAAAAACAAATGAGGACTTTTAAAAAAAAATATAAGTTTGCATCAAGACCAGTAACAGTTAAGAAGACTAAAATATGAGGAAATTGCGCTGAAGAAAAGACAGTTATGATCAATATGTACAAAATACCAAAGGAAAAAGACATTCAGCAAGAACATTTGCACGCTCCTGAGGTGTTTGACAGCGTGAACCGTTGATCATCGGGAAACGAAGGGAATGTTGGGCGACCTTTAATGCTGTTAAATGTAGCCCAGACCTTTGAATGTGGCGTAGTGGGTGTGAGGCTATCACAAAATTTTGCCCATGATGCTCGCTTTGCTGACAGTATGTTTTTTTTTGGCTTCTGCTGTAGCCCGCCGGAGATTAACCCAGTTCTGTAGGGAGGGTTGACGTCTTTGTTTTTGTATGGCTCGGCGGCGTAAAGCGACTGTTCGTGCACATTCCGCGTTCCACCACGGTTTAAGTGGTTTGTTGGACCTATGTCCTGAAGTTTTCTTGAGCATTTGGGTGGCTGCAGAATTTATGGCCGAGGTGATTGTGGACAGTCGCGTGTTTGGGACGATGTAGACCCAAACAAGCGTGTTTTGCACATTGCCAGTGAACATTTTCCCCTCCCCCCATTTTTTGGCAATATATTTACAGTATATTGCATACTGCCACTATGCTTTCAGAAAATACAGAAAATATTTTCTTTCAGATTTTCATAGGTGAAACCAAGAGGAAACACACTGATGAATTTTGAGCAAATAATAGATCATATAAAAGTACAGTAACTGAATCTGGCCTTCCTAGATAAAAACATGTAAATGTTATGCTAAAAGTGAGTGATGTAGCTATACACAAAAGAAAAGTTCTTCATGTTTCTTGGGGTTAAAAGTGTTGAGGCTGAAGTGGTACAGGCAGACACTTGACAAACCTAAGAAACCAGTGCCAGGATGATCAAGTAGTCAGCCTTAAAGCATGCATGTAACAAACTTTGGCCTATAGATGGTTTGTTTCCTGTCATGGACAATGATGTTGCAGAATTTGAAGGATTTGGTGCAAGGAAAATAAGTGAAAAAAAGATGAGATTAAGGAAAGAGCTCCTTGCCTTTGTTAAGGAAATAAATGCAGTCCGGACAACTGAGAAATGAACTGATCAAAGACAATCTTGAGGAAGAAGTGGCTGCATGGATTGTGCGAGATAGACATGTTTCTACTTCACCAAGCATGACATTATCATAATGTGGTGACAGAAATTGCCAGATAAACTTGCAGGATTCAGAAGATTTATCAGAGGGAGAGGACGAAACACACAGAAGAACTAAAGCAAGAATAGAAGAGGTAGAGAAGAGCTGTGAAGTCATTTTAAAGTTCAAGCAAAAGGAGCAGAAGTAACATCAATACGAAACGCAAGATGCAGCAGCTCCACCAGCGCCGCACGATACAAGACAACAGTATTCAGCATAAGATAAGTCCTGGAACAACCACGAAAGGAAGGACAAGACAACCCTATTAGAGACATAAGTATACCTACGCAGTGACAGGAAAAACCGGAAGGACCGCCAGGAAACTTCATACTGCCGCCGAGACGAAGCACACAGACAGGAGACCAACAACGAAGACAACTGTGCACCATACAAATGATGATAGACCTCGAGTCAGAAACTCCAGACGCAAAGACTAGAGAAGAAGAACGAACCAGCCTCGAACCGGGCTGGCAAGACAGCCTAGGAGCCAGAGCTCAAGCGGATTTCAAGGAAGAAGCGAGCACCGCCTGCCGACACGAAATTTGAGAAGCAAAAAAAACAGCGAAACCACATCCCGCAGGAGTGTTGCAAACGATGCACGCACTGCAGAGGGCAATGCACCAGACCCAGAGACAGCCCCCAGCGCCTCCACATCCAATATAAGCCAGCCCAAGGACAGCTCAAGGAGGGAGAAGAAATGCAGGGCCGAAGCCAACAGACCATGTGTGCACAAATCCTCTGCGACCAATGCAGCCGAAAGGGAAGGAACCTGCACATGAAGCTGCATCACACCAACATCCCACGGAAGGGCACGGGCAAACAAACACGCATTGAGGTACTCAAACTCGCTCTACAGGAAAACCCGAGCCACCGTATGAGACTCCCTCCACTCAAGCATGCAGGATCGACAGAACATATGCCAAGCCTCCAACGAGAAGAGAGGGCAGTCTGCTAACCAGGACGACTCCAGAACTTCATAACGAACCCAGTAAGGTTATACACACAAAGGAACACGGATCCATTACGAAAGCGTAATCCAGGTCGCGCAGGAGGTAAGCCACAAGGGCTTCCTGCACAACATGGGATGGGAAGCAGGAAGCCGAAAACCTCCAGAAGGACGGGACTGAAGAACTCACAGGATCACGGAACCGAACCCGGGGAGGGGGTAGATGCCAAATCTAATTCGTATGAGGAAGGAGTGAAAGAGAACCCCTCTCCTTGTAACACCAAGCCTTGCTCCAAGGGTAAAAAAAAAAGCTGGGGGGGGGGGGGCAATGGGGCCCCAAGGCTCCCAAGTCAACCCCTCTCCCGCCCCAGTAACCTCACCCCGAGGACCTGGGCCAAGCCGTCTTCCAAATCCCCCACCTCTACAGAAAAGGCAGGAGCAGCTGAAAAAGCAGGAACGAAGGGGGCATACTGGTCAGACCCAGAAGCTCCGGTTGGGGGACCAAGCTCAAATACCTCCGCCGCCACTTCGAAAGGGAACTCCTGAGACTGCCGGAGTCCCAGCACCAACTAGACCCTGCCCCGACTCTGAAACCCTCAATCATTTCGGAGGGGAAGGAACCTGATGAACAACCCAAGGGGAAGGACAAGGAGGGGCGGACGGAACCAAAGTCGAAGCGACTCCCACCCCCAAGTCCGGGCAGTCTCGGGCCATCCGGTGAAGCAACCAACCTACCTATCGCACTGCAGCAACCTAAACCTAGCATGCAATGGCCCAGCTGCCTGCACCCTCATATCATGAGCAGTAGCTTGGGTGAACTGGAGTACGTACAAACAACAACGTTGCACAACCACGGGACAAATCTGTCACCCTGAGAAAAGGAGACAGCAACTGTCAACCTCGCACAAAGCGAGAGGGGTTTCAGGGGTTGCATCCATCGGACCAAAGAGCCCCAGCGGGGATTTCCAGGGCCTTTAGCCTTCGAAACACGCTAAGGAAAGCCCAGGCAGGGCGGTCTATCACCGAGCGGTAAAACTCCAAGGGTGGTCTATCACCGAGCAGTAAAAGACACAGCGGAGGTAAACCCCAAGGTGACTTGTGAAGGTGGCCCCAAGCCCACAGGGCAGTACAGTACTTACAGGGCACATAATGAAGGAAACCCTAGACTCATGCAGCCCAAGTAATTGAAGAATATTACTTCTGGCTCGCTCACCGATCGTAGAGACAGGAGCACGCCACAAGGCACAGCCCAGAAACAAAATCTGGAGCCAGATGTACACGACCTTGCCAGCAACACATCAGCTTAAGAACTGAAGGGTGGATCGCCGGCGTGAGGGTCTGAGGCTCCCAATTTTCCCTCCTGGGGAGGAGGGGAAAATGTGCGCAGTGCGCAGACAGCGGTGTGGCAACATGATTACGTCATGCTAGTGTCCTAATTTTCATTTGGGGAGTTCTGTCCACACGTTTGGCTTTCGGTAGCAATATTTTCACAAGAATTGGTGTTTGTTTTGGGGTGCCTACCTTTCTTGGTGCCAGACCCAGTCGATGGCAGACACAGAATGCTCCCAACCACACGGGGGTTTCTATAGACCATTGCTTCTCGTGCTTCTCTGAGGGGGGCTAGGTTCTGGCTCGTGGTCCCCGGTAGGCAAGAACTCCATGCACATTGAATGATGCTAGAAAGTCAATATATCCAGATCAGCCAGGATAGTTCCAGGAAACCAATGGGGCTTCCCCCAGAAAAAAAAAAGGCAAAAGGAGCACCAGAGAACGTTAAACTGCCGCCATGATGAAGAAGCAAGCCCGACACCAAGAAAACTGCCACCAGTGCACCATACAAATTGTGGGAAACATACAACAGAAATACACAGTGCATAGAAAGGAACCAGCAAGGAATGTCATCAGGCTGATCTGCAATAAGAGGTGTAGCCAGTTTTACACCAATGCAGAGGTTGGGGGCGGCCAACATGCCTTGCAAAGAGGTGGACCTTGGATGGTCCACCCGATGGGAAAAGAACAGAATTGAGAGAACCATCCGCGAGAATGTGAAACACATCTTATGTGTAAACCGCTTGCATCACCAAAACCCCAAGCCACACAAAGACCGGTTAAGAACGAAGTGAACCCTCACAGCGCAGTGAAAGTACCACTTGGAAATGTCAAAATGGAAGTGGATAACCAAGCATTAAACTGGCAATAAAAATGCAAGATTAGTATATCAGTGGAGAAGAATGTGATTGATAAAGATTAAGCCACCCAAGAGGTGGCATGGGCAAGAATAGCCTGTACAGTGGAGAAGGTTAAACTAGCATAGAGCATCACAAGGTCGAACTAGCATCTACCTAGGTTATCTAGATTTGATTTCGGGACTTAGCATCCCCGCGGCCTGGACCTCGGCCAGGCCTCCATTTTGTTACACATCCCCAGTGTAAGAGCATTACTAGGTCGATTTCCTGAAGGAGAATATCACCATGGAAAAATGCTTAGGTCCAGATTTTCTGGTCTTCTGGGTCAGAAGAGCTGGAACCAAAGCTGAATCAGCCACCAAGGAGCCAGAAAGATCATTCTGCTTAAGTACATCTCCAATCTGGACAACACCTAGAGCAACAACTGAACCAGGGAAAAGCAAAAAATGAACCCCTACCATTACTAGTCCAGCCAAAATGCATCTAGCCTCATGATCGCAAAACCAAGCCAGACAGGGAAGTTGCAAGTTCATTGCCAATGCAAGGTGGTCTACCTCAAGGTGTCCGAATGTGTCTCAATGCCATCAGAAGTGGTCCACTTTGTGGAACCGAGATGGAAGCAAGATAAACCATCTAAGAGTATTGGACACACCCCACATATGAACATCTCAGAACCAAACCCAGCAAAGTCAGAAGCTGAGCTAAAGTAAGTACAGCTCCAAGGGTGGAAGGACTGAAGCGACCACCCCTACCTCCCACGGTTTAGCAAATAAACCACCGGACAGCTGTCAGAATGGAAATGGAGGACAGGGCCTATA